CTTTTTCACGTTTCCTTGGTTGGTAGATGCACCGGGGACCTGATTATAGCACGTAACACCTGGAAAAGCCAGATTTTCATGATATGTCACCTTTAAATTTGTGAGTTGCAATTGCGAATCCAATTCTGTGGAAGCTCACAATTCTCACAATTTCTTACAGTTGCAAGTTTATCATGCAATTCAGAATTGTGAGATAGAAAGTCGCAATTGCCTTTGTATTGTGTATTCAGTGTGGCAGAAACAAGCTTCTATAGTTTATTGCTCTTGTTGTCATTGAAAGATTCTATCATCTATGATTTAAAAATGAAGTTCACAGATTTTCGAGTGTGAGTCTTGCTGTCATATTGCAGGGCATTTCCCAGCATTCAGCCGGCAGGGTGATGTTTAACTCGACAGAGGCACTGAATGTGACAGCGGCCTCCTGCCTTGAGTCTCATCTGAGTCTCAGACACCGGTTCTTCTGAAAACTCGACTGTTTGCAGAGAAATATAGAGCTCAGGAGATCTATACTCTCCCACATCACTGAGCCCAGACAGAAATAACAACAAACACTGACCCCTCTGACCCCGAGAACACACACTTCAATAACTTATCAAACAAATCAACTTAACCTGACCCTACAAAGCAGCGGAATGAGTCAGAAAACTGTAAAACTGCGAATCAAACAGTCTTTCAGTTCTGCCAAACGCACTTCTAATCCTTCAAAACAGTGATAATTGTTTGACAAGAGAGACAGAATAGACACAGGTCTGGATGAGCAGGAGGACTCTGACAATCTGCCATCGGCTTTGAAGGATATTGAGCTCGCATCAGCATCAGCCCTTCGCTTTCGTGCTCTGTTAGGAATCTGTGTTTCAAAGAGATAAGTTTGCTGTTTGTCTCGAGGCGCTGTATTCAAAGATGCGCAAACGCGCGTCTGGTTCATTAACACGAGCCGCTTCAGGCGCTTCTCACAAAGCAGCGCTGTTTAACTCCCAACACCCACATCGTGAAAGTTCATCTCGTCAGAGCTGGCAGCGTTTCCGCGATTGTCGACGCGTTCTGCGCTTTGATCCGCACGGAAAGGCTCTGTTTGGGAAAGTTGGTGATCGCGGTTACACTGTACGTCCTCCTGAATGAAGCAGAAAATCAACACCAACATCTAACCTGATCTCTCTCCGCTCTGTGACAACGCAACGCGAGCCATCGGGGAGGAAGCTGACCTCATACGTCATCCACCCGGAACTGCTTACGTTTACAGCAGTGAGCACAAGCTACATTAAAGTGATTATTACGTTTTGAATATGGATATTTTTCTTACAAAAACGCATTGATTCGCTACAGGAGGCCTTTGATCAACACCCCCCGCATTTTTTATTTAACTTCTTTTGGACTGATGCATGCAACACCCGCTGAGTGCCATGAAACATCTTGAAAGATCAAAGACAATTTTTAATATAACTCCGACTGGATTCGTCTGAAAGAAGAAAGTCATATACACCTAGGATGCCTTGAGGGTGAGTAATTTATGGGCTAATTTTCATTTTTGGGTGAACTAACCCTTTAAATGTATATATACAAGAATTTTTAAAGCCACCTTTTTTCTAATTTATTAAATGTACTAATTTTTTTGTTGTTGTATATTTAATGTTGTGTACGTGTTTTGAAGCTCAGTCCAGCGGTCTGATTCACTCAAAGGTTCTTGTTCTGAATCAATTTCAGAACAAGGTCCCGCTCGTGGCGAGTGAAAAATGGACTACAGAGAGACTTTAAATGGTGGCCATCAATAAACGTGCGGCGCTTTGCTTTGCATTCATCTTCCCCCCTTAATTTGTTTCCCAGACATCAGTCCCTCGGCTGCTGACCTTTGAGAGAGACGCTCCTGAAGCAGCAGATAGAGTGAGACGCTTCCCGCTGAGAGCGCGTGTGTTTATGAAGTGCAGGCGGAAAACAATAGACTGAAGCAGTGCATTTAACCACCGGAGCCCTGCATCTCACACAGACACACTGCTGGAGTCATGTTCCTACAGTAAAACAGCAGCTGCTAAGAACCTGAGGGTCATTCTCAGGGAAAAAAAACACCATTTGGTCCTTGAAAATGTCAGGTTTTTGTCATTTTATCATTTCATTTGAAAAGGTTACTCAGATTAGTGGTCAGCACATTTAACTATAAGTGTTTACAATGACTAAATGTGTGAGTACAGCCTAGAGCACAATGTGCATGAACAAATTCATTAAAAAAGCATTTAAAACAAAACTACACATTGAAAGCATAGGCAAGTTGATTTTTAATATTAGGCTATATAGCCAAGTTCCATGACAATGAACTGGACATGCAGATTGGATGATATCTCATTGAAAAAGTTAAATTTAGAGGTTAAATTTATTCATTAGGTTCGTTACTCTGTTGCAGATAACACACGAATTGTGCTGTTTCTTGAGAATGAGTGTTTTACATTTTTCTGCAGGTTTTTAAACATGATCTTCAGCTGCATCTCAAAGTCTGGCACATTGTGATTTATTTCAGTCGACATCAGCTTAAAATATATTGGTCACATTTGCAACCTCTGAGGGAAAAAAAACCATGCATATCAGCACAAAATCAACCAGTTTCATGAGAGAAGGAGATACATGCCATTGCTCTTTTCTTTTTATTTTTACTGTTCGTTACAGAACATGATCGGTCAGTGACTAGATCAGTATTATTAGAAGTTATTATTGGAAATATTTCATATAGTATTTCCAATTCAAACAATAGAGGAGTTCAAAATGACCCAGTTATATATTAATATTTCACATTTTTCAATTTTCAGTGTTATTTCAGTTAACTAAAAGCAAAATCTAAAACAATTCTACACTTGAAATAACATTTCTGCAATATTTCCAGCTGTTGCCAAGGCCACTTTTTCTCATTTAGTTAAACTTGATATACTAAAATAACTAAAACTGAAATAAAAGTTACTAAAAAGTATATATATATATATATATATATACAGCTATGGGAAACAACATCAAGATACCACTTGATAATTCTCAGTTTCTCTGGATTTACTAGGTATGGGTTCTAGTAAAATGATAATATTTGTTTTATTCCATAAACATCACATTTCCATCTTTTTGCATAAATGACAGAAAACACAACAAAATCATCCCCTAAATTAATATGAAAACTGAAAATATAACACAAATTAACTCCTTCACACAAAAATAACACACTAACTGAATATGAATGCACGAATGAAACCAGACACCAGAGAGAAACATATTGCAACAAAAGAAACGATTTATTTGGAATATGCATTACCAGTACAAATTAAGAGACCAAAAAACCTACACCTTGTTAGTTTTTCTTCACAAAAACGAGTTGGAATCAAAAAGACAATAGTTTGCTGTTCCATTTTATTCCTTTTATACATATGCAGAGATCTTAAAAGTTAAAACTTGACAAGAGGACGTCTCTGCGCTTGATATAAAAAAGAAGAAACATTCAAAAACACTGCAGGAGTTTAAAGAACAGAAGACATGCAACAAAGTAAACATGTGATGTCTTACAAACCGCTGTATATGCAAAAACTAAAAGCATCATTACATGAGGCTTTTCTGAATACGGTGCTGCTGAGGTGGGATCTGCTCCGGCGATGAGACGGCAAACCAAAGAAAGACAATGACCCACACTAGCTAGAGCTCCAAAACCTCTCTACATGTCTCATTCTCAATCAACTGAGCAACTGTCAGGAGCAGAAAGCCTGCGCTCATCACAGCGCTTCCGTAAAGACCTAATCATTTTAGCCGTTGTTATGAAAAGAGCAAAAGAAGAGTAAAGGTGCACATCTACATATTGAAGCTAGCGCGCATTCACATTATGCTTGCGAGAAATCAAATATATGGCCGTTCGTGTATGAAATCAGAAATGAGAATCGGCTATTCACAACAGGAGGGCATCAAAAATATATCCAAACCGATTTCTGCATTTGTGTGCCATCGTGAGCTTTTCCTTTCTTCTCAAGAAACACCAGTGGATTTTTGGTTTCAGGTATAACGCGCCGGGACGCTCGTGAGAAACACATCCCAGATTTGACACAATTTACAGCATGAAGGATGTGATGTGAACGGAAGAGCGGACACGCCTGTGGTTTTTGGTATCAAGGTCGCCCGGAGAGAAGGCTGATGTGGAACGAAACCAGAAAAGAATGCGATTTCACATTTGGGATTGGTTCACTTCTGATTGCCTTTTATTGCATTCTGATGATGATGATGATATATATATATAAAGGGATTTGTGTGTCTGTACATAAACATCAGACAAAAATTCATCAAGATTACATGAATAAACTGAAGCGTGACGCATGTGAATCTTATTTAAAATGCTAAATAATGATACCGTTGTGCTAATAACCTTCAGAAATGAATATTTCGATATCTTTGTCTAAACCGCATTGCCTTTATTTCTCGCTAAAGCAGGGAAATTATGATCTTCCCTTATGTACACAAACCAAATATTCCGCGATTCAAAGCAAAGGTTATTAGATGAACAGAAATCTAGTTCAGATCAGACGCAGTGCAAACTGCTTTTTCAAGCACAAGTCTATTATAATGTAAAACAAGCTCCTAAAGTGATGTATAAAAGTACTTTGGCACTATGGTAAAATTGCAAAAATGTTTCAAACATAACGTGATGTTTGTTGTGACGATGAAGGCAGGGTCGACATACAGTATAGATGCATGTGTCTAGTCTAAAGGTCCTGTTGTCTCGGTCTGGATGTTTGAGAGGTAGCATGAAGACGTTTGATGATGCTCTCTGTGTGGTGCGGGGATGGAGACAGTCCGTGTGTGTGAGGATCAGTTGGAGGTGTCGGAGTGAACGCTTCCGGGTCCTTCTGTGGGGGAGGTGACGGAGGACGGGGTGGTGGGGTCCTGCCAGCCACCGTTCGCCTGACGGAGAGACAACACACACACACACACATGCCATGAGTGAACAATCAGGCACATTTTGTGTCATATAAAAATGGCAATATCAGAGAAAAATGGCCTGTAAATCAATATTTCATAGTCAAATCCATTGATCTCAGTGTGTAGAATGTGTCATTTTTATCAAATGAATAAAAATTAAATAATTCATTTTTTTTTACTGGAAACGTTGAATAGATTATTTTTATTTCCAAAAATAAAAGAGTGATGTGCTACATAAACTCTCATAGGTCAAAATGACCCAGCGATTGGATATATGTATGACATTAAATAAAGCAGAATGTTTTACCAGGGTTATTAAAGTGGACTAAAACCTAAAAAAAAAATTATTTTATTTTTTATAAAAAAAAAAAAAAAAAGAAAATAAAAAAAAGTAAATATATAACATATATATATTTTAAAATATATAGTTGTTTTTCAACAAAATATAAAAGTGTTATGTCTATTCCTTGTTGAATAAATGTAACAATTATTTATTTATTTAAATACAATTTATTTTAATTTTATTAAAAAAAAATCTACATTATTCAGACAGGACACATTTAGGTTTCTTGAGCAGCAGATCAGCATATTATACTGATTTCTGAAGATCATGTGACACTGAAGACTGGAGGAATGATGCTGAAAATACAGATTTGAGCACAGCAATAAATGATAGAAAACTGTTAAAAATATTTCAATTGAAATATTATTACAATTTAAAATAAGTTTTCTATTTTAATAGATTTTAAAATGTAACGCGGCATTAAAATACAGTATTACTGTTTTAAGTGTGTTGTAGTGTGTTTTAGTCAAATTAGCGAACACACTGGAAGATGTGAATTATTTCTGTAAGATGTGAATTTTTGAAGTCAAAAACCCTTTGTCAATTAAAACATTCTCAGTAATTTAGTTGGCAGTGCTGGTTTCTGTCAGTCTGAGATGATTACGTCCTCAGAAAACAGGAATCTGCGTGTAAGAGCTCTGTGTGTGATGCCTGTCATTTATACTGACACACACACACACACACACACACTGAGAGGCAACAAGAGAAAAGAATCAAGACTCCCAGAATAAAACCGGAATCAGTGAAGGACACTGAGAGAATGAAACCCGGAATAAAAACACCGAGACGCAGCAGAATCCATCACTAATCTCACAGACAGCAGTGAAAGCAGCGCTTCAGACATCAGCACTGCATTTCATGGCATCCCGCTGGTCTGTTCTTCAATCAAACCCAATATAAGAACAGAAGAAATGTGTTAAATGCTGCTGGTGAATGCACGCTTTAAACCAACATCAACCTCATCTCTGTCATTTGTGTGCCACTAATGCTTTCTGTTTCTCAATTTCACATACAGCGGCCCCCACACTACCTGAACACTCCAGTCACAATTAAAAATGCATGAATGTCATTGCATTAGATAATAAAATATCAAAGCAAGTGTAATTCATTTTAAGGAAAGACACAGTACAAGCAAAATGAACTGCACCACTGTGGTTGTGTAACGCATTTGTGAGGTGAACTTATCTAATGCAGTGACATTCAGACATTAATAACTGTCACTTAAGTGTCCAAATAATTTGAGTAAATGTGCATGTGTGATATTTCAGCTCTGAATGGATGAGCCTCATTTAAATCTCAAATTAGCTGATATATGTGCTCCTGTGAACAGTCATTTTATACTGATGCAATAATTTGCAACAAAACTATAAATAACACTCAGGATCACACATCATCTGACTAATTAATATCAAAGGATAAGGATGCATGTAGATAAAATGCTATTAAATCATTTAATAGAGACAGCATTCACGCTTTCAATATATATAATAGTCAGAACAGTTTAGATTTTGAATTTGCATTCATTATGTAAATCATTTTAAGATTTAATTAATTTCAAGTACACTTTTTGTAACAATATTATGGACAGTATTATACACTACCATTCAAAATTTGGGGTCAGTAAGATTTTTAAAAATGTTTTTGAAAGTCACGAAGGTTGCATTAATTTGAGCAAAATAAATAAATATACAGTAAAAACTGTAAAATTGCAAAATATTAATTACAATTTAAAAATGTAATTTATTCCTGTGAGTCAAAGCTGAATTTTCAGCATCATTCCTCCAGTCTTCAGTGTCACATGATCTTCAGAAATCATTCTAATATGCTTAATTGCTGCTCAAGAAACATTTCTGACTATTATCAGTGATAAGAGGTTGCAGATTAATATTTTTGTGGAAACTGTAAAATATTTCGTTTTTCCGAATCCTTTAATGAATAGAAAGTTAAGAAAACAGCCAGCAGTTATTGGAAAAAAAAAAAAAATTTGCAACATTAAAAAATGTCTTTACAGTCACTTTTGATCAATTTAAAGCATCCTCATTGAATAAAAACATTCATTTAAAAAATCGCTGCCCCTTATATTTTTGAACATAAATATAATATATTAGATTTTATTATATATTTCTAAACTTGACCATGGGAACTGTGTATATTATGCAATTTATTGTGATTCAAAACAAATGTAATGATTTATTCAGTGTGAATGCTTTGTACGGTATTAAATGCGTTTTGAAAGCACTTGATGTGAACCGAGCGCCGTGCATCACAGTCAAGCCCACAATTCTCCCCAAAAAAAAGCAGGACGGGATTTGCATTTGTGCTTTTCCCGCGAATATTTTTGATCTCATTAACATACGGCCGGCAGAGCGCGGCAGAGTGGGAGCGGGACGGAGACGCTGACCGGCCTCCCCCTCTCCTCCTCCTCCTCTCTCGTTCTCGTTCTCGGCTCGGCTCGCTGTCAAGGCCATTAGCTCGGCAGGAACCTGATCTGAGCAATGTGCTTGGATTGCTGTCCCAAGTCCACACTCCGCTCCCCGTGTGTCTGTCGTATTGATTTTCCCCTTTACCACACGGCTTGTCGCTGTGAATCTTCTCGGCGCGCCAAGTTGCCAGCAGCGCCCCTCCCTTCCCGAACACACAGGATGTCCTCCTACGAGTGTTTCACCATAGGCGCGCGGCTGTATTTTTAGCGCCGAGTGTTTTTGTGCACCGCCCTTGGGGGGATAATCAGGGTCGGGTGACTTTGGGGCACGGCGAGGGGCCATACATTTGCAGCCGGTGTCACCTGTTCCCATCAGTGGGGCGCGTGGCTGCAGGTGCCGGGCCGATCTGATTGGATGTGATGGGCTCAGACAGACACGGGGCCACTCTCGTGTCCACGTCTCGCTGGGCAGCGCGCCGCCCGTGGCGCTCGCGACACACAGGCAATCAACTAAGTGACCACGATTCCCAGACAAGTCACACTAAGTGGCATTCTGAGCCCTATGGCTTTGAAATAATTGGTAGAGGGCAAAACAAGAGGAAGGGGGAAAAAAGAAGTGTTTTTTCTCGCCTTACATTGATGCCCTGCGGACTGTACATCTGGTTTGCTGCGAGGCCGTCACTGTATCCTCCTGTCTGGCTGATAACATGGCGAAGGGTATCCACCTGAAACATCGCAAAAACAACACGGCAAGGTCAGAGCGCGTGAGACGCGAACGCAAGGTCGCAAACAAAGCAAAGTCAGACGACACGACAAAGAAGAAAGCAAGGTCGAAGAAAGCAAACAACAATAAAAGATGACACAACGACAGACGTACAAACACATGATGACACGCGAACAATAAAACACATTACAAAGCCTGTCTCATCATGGCTCTGTTCTAAAGCCCAGTGAGCTGCCTACCTAGACAGCATTCTCCATATGCTGCCTTATACGATTCCTTATTTGGGGTAGTAGCATTGTGGACATTAGAATGCAAAAATTATCCAAAACTTCACTCTAAAAAATGCTGGGTTAAATATAACCCAGCACTGGGTTAAAAAGGGACAAACCCAGCGGTTGAGTTCAAAACAACCCAATAGCTGGGTTTGTCCATTTTTAACCCAGCATTTTTTAGAGTGTGAAGACAAAACAAGAGAAATGTTGATTAAAAATATACATACTGTACTGTTCAAGAGTTTGCGGCCAGTAAGATTTGGTCACCAACTTTTGTTGAATTTATTTGCTCAAAAATAAAGTAAAAATTGCAAAATTGTGAAATATTATTACAATTTAAAATAACTGTTTTATATGCCGATTTGCTGCTCAAGAAACTTTTCTGATTATTATCAATGCTGAAAACAGTTGTGCTGCCGAATAGTTTTGTGGAAACTGCGATACATTTTATTTTTCAGAATTCTTTGATAAACAGAACGTTTAAAAGAACTGCATTTATTTGAAACATAAATGTTTTGTAACATAAATGCCTTTACTGTCACTTTTGTTCAATTTAATGCATCCTCACTGAATAAAAGTATTCTTTCAGATAAATGAACAAATCAAATCTTACTGACCTCAAACTTTTGAACAGTAGTGTATATGTCATGCAATACTGAAAAGCAAACTGAAAGATTTTGCACAATTTATATACTGTATGTATGTTTATGCTTATGCTTAATTGTGTCATTAGCAGCTCTACTGAAGTCATTATTTGAAATGCAGTCAATTAACGGTTAACCGATATTGATTTTATTTATTTTTTTATTGCTGATGCCGATATCTTAAGAGAGCAGGGTGGCCAATATAAAGCCGATATGTATGATATCACACTATTTAATATAAAGATGCATAACAACTGCAGAAATGAAAATTATATTTATTTTACATATATTATGTAATTATATATTCATATAATAAACATTTTTACTTGGTTAAAAAATACATCTGTAAAATAAACATTAATTTAGATGACAACTTCTTGATTCTGTGCTGTCATAATAAAAGTCCTGCTTCCAACACATCGGCCAAACAGACAAACATGTTTGGCCTATGCCAATAATGAAAAAATCCCAAATATCGGCCGATATATTGATTGACCACTACTGTCTATGTACAGTGTTTCAAATCAGGATCAAATTCAGTCAGCTTCCTATGTAGACAGTAGACAGAGAGGCGGTTCACAAGCTTTAGAAACAGAGAAAATGAACAATATCTTAAAACATTTTTAACACACACACACACACACGCACACACACACACACGCACACACACACACGCACACGCACACGCACACACACTAGAATTGTTCATCATGTTGCAACACCATGAGCTGCAGTGTGTGTGCTGGTGCTGTGAGGTTTCTGTAGTGATTTATAGACACTATACCTGTGACTGCACATTGGCTCCCACCTGAGAGCTCTGGTACGAGTCCCCGTTCAGAGACTGAACACTCATAAACAAATCGCCAGAGTTTGACATGTTAAAAGAGCCAGCAGAACCTGAGAGGTGCACAGACACGACAGAGAGACAGAACAAGCCAGAGAAATGAGTTTGAAGAATTCAAGAGAGCAGAAATGCAGAGTTATAATTAGATAAGCTTTTCAGAGCATAAGATCCAGCAGCCCATAAAGAAGACAAAGATCAAGAATCGATGCTAAGCAGGAGAGATCTAGCTAAAAGCAAGAGAAACCTGACGCCACAGATAAAAACTCAGATATGTGCATATTTGATTTGAATTTATAATAATAATTGAATTTCTTTTTTCAGCTAAACGGAGATATGAATCCAAAAACAACAGACCCAGCGAGAGCAAATGCCATTTTTAATTTAATGCAAACAAAAACATGTTTGTGAGAAAGACATGTAAAATCTTTGATTGATCTTGAGTCAACATTCACATTTGTATATGATTTCATTTATATAGTGACATTTTCACACATCTTTTTTTTAATGAGAAAAACTTTTATAATCCATAACTGTTTTTGTTAGCTTGTTAAAAATGTACACTACTTTTCAAAATTTTGGGGTGAGTAATGGTGTATATTTATTATGTATATATAAATACACACACATACAGTATATATTATGAAAATATTTACATGTATTTACACGTATATATTTATATTATATATAAATCTATTTAATATATAAACATAACATATTTTTCTGAAATGTATACATGCATGTGTATTTATATATACATAATAAATATACACAGAACACACACATATATTATGTAAACAAAAACGTTTATTTTGGATGCGATTAATCGCGATTAATCGCGATTAATCGTTTGTTGAGCAGAATAAATTGATCAAAAGTGACAGCAAACACATTTATAATATTACCAAATATGTCTATTTAAAAAAAAAAGCTGTTCTTTTGAACTTTCTATTCATTAAGGAATCCTGAAAAAAATTTCAATGGTGTCCACAAAAATATTGGACAGCACAACTGTTTTGATCATTGATAATAATCATTAACATTTCTTGAGCAGCAAATCAGCATATTATACTGATTTCTGAAGATCATGTGACACTGAAGACTGGAGGAATGATGCTGAAAATACAGCTGCGCATCACAGGAATAAATTACATTTAAAAATACATTATAATAGAAAGCACATTTTAAATTGTAATAATATTTCACAATTTTACTGTTTTTACTGTATTTTTAATCAAATAAATGCAGCCTTGGTGGACAGAAGAGACTTCTTTCAAAAGTATTACAAATCTCACCGACCCCAAACTTTTGAACTGAAGTATGTCTAATATTTCGTCAGCTGAAGGATTGATGTCCATTGTCTCTCCCTCACAGTCATGTTTTCATATTCAAGTCTATGGTCATATGTTCTCATGGCTTCATCGGAGCACTAAGCAGATATGTGGGGGCGTGTTAGAACGAGCCATTTTTGGCGTGGTTGACTTAACTTTTATAAAGAATATCTCTTTGGATTTGAGACTTTAGTCTTTGCAACTTTACAGATCTTCTTTATGCACTAAGAGCTTGTAACACTCCAAAGAGAAAGGAACAATTGAAATCACATCATATGACCCCTTTAACTAGACGAGTCCTCTGAGTTACAGAAAGAGAACTAATGAGACAGGAGCAGGACATGCTGTGACCCACAGAGCCCTCGTCCCGTTAGAAGTCAAAACACTTTTAATAGTTTTTCAGAGAGTCAAGTGTGCTACAGCTCCACATACAGTAAAGTCTTCTCATATACAGTACTAACAAAAGACATTTCCCACAATGTGACCCTACAGCAAAGGCTCTACAGCTGCATGGCTATGTGAAGTCCTGACATCATGGGAATGAGTGTGGAGTTTCTATGGTCTCACCTGCTGAGTTTGGAGTGGACGGGGAGTTGGCCTGGCTGCCATGTGCCGACACGCTCGCCGCGCTCACAGCCGTTTTGGCTGCGTACATGTTGGCTTCTTCCTGGAATTTTCCGATGTTCTTCTTATATCGGATCCGTTTGTTTCCAAACCAGTTGGACACCTGCCCACAGAAACATTGTCAAGACATGTGTTTTCCAACACTCTGTCCTCTTGAACCCAATGCATACAAATCACGATGGACAATTCAAAATAAACAGGTTCTTAGATGAACCATGACACACTAGTCACACATTACATCATGCAACAATCATGCGTAGTTCGCAAATATGTACAGTATAGCGTTCAAAAGTTTGGGGTTTGGTAAGATTTGTAAGACTAGGGCTGCATTTATTTGATCAAAACTACAGGATTATTGTGAAATATTATTATAATTTAAAATAACTGTTTTTTGTGTGTGAATATGCGTTAAAATATAATTTATTGCTGTGATCACAGCTGAATTTCCAGCATCATTACTCCAGTCTTCAGTGTCACATGATCCTTCAGAAATCATTCTAATATGCAGCTCAAGAAACATTTCTTATGATTATCAATGTTGAAAAAAGTTCTGCTGCAGAATATTTTTCTGGAAACCGTGATACATTTTATTTTTCAGGATTCTTTGATGAATAGAAAGCTCAAAACAGCATTTTTTAAAAATAGAAATCTTTTGCAACATTAGAAATGTCTTTACTGTCACTTTAGATCAGTTCATTAGATCTATTTATTAATTTCTTTTAAAAACATCATGCTGACCCCAAACTTTGAACAGTAGTGTATATTGTTCATACAATGCATTGCATATCATAGTTCAATGCATCTACTATTTTTAATTATCTAACCTTTTCTCCTTCTTGATTCATTATTTAATCTAAGTGTTACAATTTCAGCTATTTCTTGACAAAAAATTTAAACAAAAAGTTAAATAACCAAAATGAAAATGAATTTCCATGTGAAAATTTCCAGTCGAAGGATTGAAATAGTATTCTCTGTGCTTCAACAAATATTTTTCATTAAAAATAAAATAATAATAAAAACAAAATCAGCACACATGAACTGAAATAATATTTTTCTCAGTTGTAAATAAAACAGATTATTGGAGTACAGAAAATACTATTTCAGTCTATCTACATGAAAACGTCACATTTAATTCAACGTGTTAATTGCCGTTTCTTTATAATTATTTGTGAAATTTACTAGCAATTTTTGAGTGAAACTTTTTTTTTTCAGTGTAGAACAATGAAATACACAGAAAAAGCACCATTTAAAAGTGCATCCTAAGTTAAAAGAATTTTGAACTATCGCTAAAAGATTCCAAAAGTGTTCCAACTCAATACTTGCAATTCGTTTGCTGCAAATTACATGCCAAAAACGATTACACGCCAAGATAATAGCAAATCTTCTTTGTGCAATAATAAAATGCTCCGTGCATTCACAAACCACAAACATGTGGACTGAAAAATGTTTTATAAGAGTGGCTGGTAGATGTCACAACAGTGAAGGATGCTATCAACAGGACTTGTGATGGTCACAAGGACAGAGGTCTAACCATGATGGACACACACACACACACACTAACGTTAACATTGAAATAAATGATCACTTGCATGCTGGCAGCTATGATCACAGTATACATTGACAGTAATCACTCAACATACACTAACGCCCATTACGGCTAATACAGCAGCGGATGAGTCTCTGCGCTAATGATAAACACCATTACCATGAAAAGCTAATCAATCCTGCGGCTAAGCTTCCCATTCCCGCGAGAGGCTAAAGGTGTTTCTATATTACAAACGGCGCGGCAGTCATCACTCATCCCGCGAGTCAGACTCAAAACCAGGCCTAAATGCATCATACAATCATTTCAGCTAAATTTATTAAATAGTTTAGAATGCATTATGCATTTAGCGCAGCAGATGAAAAATGCTAAGAGGCATGCGGTGCCATGCTGCAAATGATTTTGTTTTCGAGTTGCATGAGCTTGAACTCACGTGAGAATAACTGATATGTTTTACATGCAAAACAGGTAGAAACAAACATCGGATGTGTCTCAATATCTAGCGAGTTGCCAACCTGGACGGCACTTTTGGAAAACATGCAGTTGTAACTATGGTATTTTTTGTAATTGCATGGTATATAAATATGGTAAACATGCTACTGAATATTAGAGAACCACGGTATTACTATCATTGAACTATGACAGAGCAATAGTGTGTGCAATATTTGGACAGTGTTGTACCTGCGAGACGGTGATCGAACACTTCTTGCCCAGCTCTTCTTTGGCCTCCTCGCTGGGATACGGGTTACTGAGATGGGAGTAGAAATATTCATTCAGGATCTCTGTGGCCTGTTTGTTGAAGTTTCGTCTTTTCCTCCTGTGCAGACACAAACACATCAGATTTGGACATCTTCCCAGAACTTGTGCTGTTTAGTTTTGTTGCATATACTTCATGCATCATATCAAACATTTTGGTAAATACAGAGAAAGTAACTGCTGCTGGCCGTGTACACTTGGGTGACTCATGACTTTAAGAGAATTAGAGACACAAACCACACGAAAAAGCATGAAAAGCAGGTCAAAGCAACCATGAAAAGTACCTAAACTATTCAACCCTGTTACCAAAGTTACTATAAGACAAATTATCAAACAAATATTTGTTCTTTGGGAAATAATCAATAATTTGATCAATAATGATATATCAACATTAACCCTCTACTGAGTAATAGAATCATTTAAACTGAATATGCAACCCTGTTACCTATTTACTTTATTTAATTGCACTGAGAATTTTTCAACGTTAGATAAACTAGTAAAATTGAAAAAGTTGGAGAAATCATAAAACCTAGCTTCAAAAGTAGGAAAAAGCTACTATGAAAAGTATCTAAAAAGCTACTATTCAACCCTGTTACTAAAGTTACTGTAAGAAAATGATCAAACAAATATATATTCTTTAATTTATTGGAAATCAACAATAATTTGATCAATAATGATAAATCAACTAACTAGCACTCTGCTGAGTGATAGTTGGATTTAAACTGAATATGTAACACTGTTACCTCTTTATTTAAATGTATTCTATTAGATTTCATTTTATTGATTTTCATTTTATTTTTCATTACATTTTATTTACTTCTACTTTAATTTATACTGACCAATAGTTTGAATATGCAACCCTGTTATCCATTTCATTTTATATAGATATTATTTTACTTCAAATATTTAAATTTTACCCGTTTATTTTAATTAATTTTATAATATTATTTTATTTCAACCCCCATTTTATTTTATTTCATTCTATTTTGTTTTATTATTTTATTTTATTGCATTATATTATTGTATTTAATTAATTTACTTCATTCTTTATTTTGACATTTAATGGAAAAAACAACTACATATTAATCCCAATCTAAATTGATAACATGAAACATAAAATACATGCAAAATAAAGCAGCTCATGTAACAATTAGTTTGGCCTCCTTACACTATTTTCATTGATTAAGCCCATATTTTTCAGCCTACTTCGTGTAAACGTGCAAAGACAAATTCAGCAGGCAGACGCTTCATGCTTGAAAAGAAGAATAAAGCAGACCCCACACACAGTCAAAGAGAAGAGCTTTAAAACGAGCGTAAATTGAGCTTTGGGTGCCAATGAATTCAACCTCCTCTCGGCATCACTCATCTGTGGGTTAAGAGTGTGCGATTGGAGCTCATCTCAGGGGCTTTTACATATGCAGCACTGAAGGGCCGGAACAGAGGGTGAGCCGATTTCCTCCCCAAAACACCTCTTCACTAAATGCAAATGAGCACAGCATGGTCTCAGCCGGAGAGAGGATTAATCAGAGGAACTGAGCATGCTCCAAAGAGACGGAGAACGGATTCTGAGTGCTGCGAGGAAACATGAAGCTCATTTAAATGTTATGCCTCTGACTCCAGGCTTCCAGCGTGATTTATCCGCACAGAAATGCATGCAAATCCCAGGCACGTTTCAAAGAGAACAAGCGATTACATTGAGAAAGGGATGCACTCGACACCGCAAAGCGTGTGTGGGTTTGGATGCGGCCCTAAAGCACAAGAACGGGGCCTCCACTCCCTCGGGGAGGGAAACGGGAAAATGCACGTGTGCAAATAAAGCACAGGAGCATTTGTTTACATGAACGTGAGAGTTACAGACTTAGTGCAGAGTGTGAAGAATGAGAGCGCGGGGCCTGATTACGAGTAGATTTGCGCTCAAATGCACGGACCTGGCGTCGAGGAAGCGGGAGCGCAGGATCATGACGGCCTCACAGGTGCTCTGCTTGAGCTGCATCTGGATGGAGCTGAACTTGCGGTGGATGATGCCGACCATGCGCTCGATCTCTTTGGGCGAGATGGGCCGCGTGCGAGACTGCTCTCTCAGCAGGTTCATCACATGGGTCGTGAACTCGTTACACGCCTGAGAGAGGGAAACACAGACACCTGCATGTTACCATAACAAGATACGGCTTACAGAAACAGGTTCAAGGGCTCATATCATGGAAAACTGGGTTCAGTCAGGACTCTTAGCTACAAAACTGATTCCTTTAGTAACCATGAAGGTTATGACATATTAACATATGACCGCCCATATTTACATATCAACAATTCAGTATTAAGCAACTTTTTGACACTAGCCAATCATAACAGAGTTTATTTAGATACAGAAGCAACAACAGCCTGTTTAATTCTAATGGCCAAAGCAGAACAAAGTTTTAAAAATTGAATCTTAGACTAGCTTGAGTGTAATTATTTATAAAATTAAAACTTATTATTTTAAAGAGTTCAAAGACAGTTACCCATCTTTTCTATTGTACATCATGATTCAAAAAGTCAGAGTAAGATTTATTCAGCAAGGTGACTTAAATTGATCAAAAGTGACAGTAAAGACATTTATAATGTTACAAAAATTTCTATTTCAAATAAAAGTTGCTCTTTTGCTGCTCTTTCTTTTCATCAAAGACTCCTGAAAATTAAAATGTATCACCGTTTTCACAAAAATATGAAGCAGCAAAACGGTTTACAACATTGTTAATAATCAGAAATGTTTCTTGAGCAGCAAATCAGTATATTAGAATGATTTCTGAAGATCATGTGACACTGAAGACTGGAGTGATGATGCTGAAAATACAACTTTGCATTACAATAATAAATTATATTTTACAATATATTCAAATAGAAAACAGTTATTTTAAATTGTAATAATATTTCACAATTTTAATGTGTTTTTCTGTATTTCTGATCAAACAAATGCAGCCTTAGTGAGCAAAAGTGACTTCTTTCAAAAACATTTTTAAAAAATCATACTGTACACCAAATGTTTCCATGCTACTTAAAATTATACACTGGAGCTTCATTGTGAACACTACCAGCAATCATAATATTAAATATCATACTTAATAAAAAAAAAATAGCAAAAATTATTTATGCATCCATATCAGCACATGAATCCTAAGTGAGTGTACGGCAGTGTGGACGCTGTCTATGTATTGTAATGCAGTGATATCTATAAAAACTCATCCATCTCTCGAGCCCTCATTCCTCCATAGAGTTCATTAATCACGCATAAAAATTAGGGTGACGGAGTCGTTACACTTTCAATATTGTGCCTTAATTCTGAAATGGCCTCATTGGCGTGAGATTCTCATTACTCACAGAGCGACACAAACAGATGAGTAAGAGAGCAGAGCGTGTCAGGAGAACCAGGACTCATGGGAAGACCACAACAACAGTTACAGAGCGGATGATGAAGGGCGTTTTCGCTCTTGTGTCGGGTGGTCCATGTGTGTGTGTGTTTGCGGTCCTCTATGACAGCTATGAATGTTCTTTTGTGAACAAAACAAACAGAGGACACCTGGCCCTGTCCCAGAATGCATTTCAGTACATCACCTCTCCTATGTCCCCACCGTTTATCATCAGCGATGGATCTACTGTCCGAGCTCACAGAGAGCCATACAGTGGCCACTGATACTCGTACTTAAACATGAATGATGCTCATCAGGATGCTGATGGCTTTAACCAGTCAAGTCCTGAGTATTTAAGATGCTACAGCAGCCTGATCTCAGCAGCAATCATTTACATACATGCCACATTCAAACACTCCCGCTGATGTTCCTGAACGATTTTTTCAAATAATTTAAAAATAGTTTAGTTTTATGCCACTGGTTTAATGTATTTTCCAGAATGTCACATTTTTTAATCTGCTTTAAATGTGTGCATACATTTTTTTTTAAGATTTATTTTTGGCGTTTATTAGATTTATTTTGATAGGACAGTTGGTAGACAGGAAGCGAAGCAGGAGAGAGAGAAAGGTCGGGAAAGGTCGGTGAGCTAGGACTATATATCAGCGCACTGCAAACAAGGCTATTGGCGGCGACAAATGTGTGCACACTTAAAACTACTAAAGGAATTGGAGGAATCAGAAGCAGAATCTTTCAATTCCTTTCAATTCCCAACTCTATTTATTAATCTACATCCCAATTTGAACGTTGACTGCTACTTCCCGGTTTTCCGTGAGCGTGGGAACGCTGGGCTGTCAGCAGTAACACCGGACCGGCCTCTGATGCGTCTCAAACACTAAAACAGGAGGGTGTCTGTGAAATCACATCTGAGGTTGAATGAGCTGCTCTCTGCCAGCAGAGCCCCACTGAAACACCCAGAGCATCTCAAACACACTCTTCACATCATCATCTGATCTGACAGACTTTGGGATGGAAAGGCTGCCTGCTGAGCCACACACACACATGAACACACAATCTCTCTCACACACGAACACACAATCTCTCTCTCACACAATCTCTCTCTCTCACACACACACACACACACACACACACACACGAACACACAATCACACAATCTCTCCCACACACACACACACACACACACACACATGAACACACAATCTCACACACACACACATGAACACACACACACACACACAATCTCTCACACACACACACACACACATAAGTATAACAACGGCAGTCAAACAGATGTTGCACGAATCTAAATGATGAGATATTACAGTCAACATGAAATCAAAATTGAAGCGTTTACTTCAGCACACGTTGCTGGTGATTCATCAGTGCATGTTATTCCAAATAAAATCAAAATGACTTCCATCAGTCAAAAAACTGCCTGGTTTTGAGCATGTCAACGTTTAGGATGCTTGAGATGTCTGTGAAATCCTCACTAATTCAGATTAATAGCAAAGTTATTCAAGCATAATGGTACATTTTCAGAAAAAGAACTGTTCGTGTTTTCTGACCTGTTCGTACTTCTCCAGCTCGGTGTGGTAGATCCCGCGGATCTGGGTGAGTTTGGCTCTGTAATCGGAGTGTTCGGCCGAGTTATCGGGTCCGACTCCAGCCGATGCCGCCGCCGCTGCAGCCGCCGCAGACCCGCCCCCTTTCTCCGGCCCGGACACGCCCTCCGCCAGCAGCATGTTGTCCAATCGCATCAGCTGGGCATCGGGAGGCTCCTCCTCCTGAGCGCCACGGATACTCAACACTGGAACGAAACAAGCAGTGGTTACTCCAACAGCTCGATATCCCAGGATGCACCGCATCCTGAGGCTTTGAATATACTGAGTCTGACACGATGGGTCCGGCCTCATCGGTCCCGCTCTTTCTGATAAATTGTCTTTGAGGCCGAAACAGAAAACGGCCAAGGCTGCAGTTGACTTTGCCAAGTTTTATGATGATATAATAAAACTTAATCTAATTCATATCATATCGCTGATGCTCTGTGGCTGTAAATCTCAGCATCCCTGCGCTCTCCGGCTCTGACACTAGAGGGCCTGAGTGCTTAGATTTGACATCACATTCACATTCACACACAGTCACACACACACACACACACACACACGCGCGCACACAGACACACACGCATGCACACAGTCACACACGCGCACACACACACGCACGCACACACACACACACAGACACACACACGCACACAGACACACACACGCATGCACACAGTCACACACACACGCACACAGTCACACGCACGCACGCACACACACACGCACGCACACAGACACGCACACACACACGCATGTACACAGTCACACACACACACACACACGCACGCACACACACACACACACACACATGCACACAGTCACACACACACGCACACAGTCACACGCACGCACGCACACACACACGCACGCACACAGACACGCACACACACACGCATGTACACAGTCACACACACACACACACACGCACGCACACACACACACACACACACGCATGCACACAGACACACACACACGCATGCACACCACACCCACACACCCTCACACACACACGCACGCACACACTCACACACACACACACACACACACACTCACACAGTCACACACACACAGTCACACACACACATGCACACAGACACACGCACGCACACACACGCAGAAAAAAAAACACACACTCAATCATTCTCTAGAGAAATAAAGTGTTCTTCCACCATAGCCAATGATATGAAAGTGAATTTATTAAATATGTTAAGTGATATCATACATATGATATTAGAAACTAACTACTTCATAAAGGAACTATTATATTTTTGTCATTTTATTTGAATTTGTATATACATATTTGATACTTATAAATATCATTATATTAAAAAAAACTATACAGTACTCTATTATTGTAATACTACATTATACTACAATAATGTATTTGATTAGAATAATGACTTTGATTAGTAGTATTTTTATAAATAATTATATTTATGTAAATATATTTATATAAAACTATACATAAACACATACATTATTATTATTAACATTTGATATTTATTTGAATATCCTTATTTTAACACTTTTATTTTATTTAATAACACTGTTATTTTAATACTATATAACACAAAATACGAAACAAATATTATTATTATTATTAGTTGTAGCAGTTTCATTATAAATAATAGTATTTATTTAAATATCGTTATATGAAAACTATATATTATAATATTATATTATTATAAGACTATATTGTATAAATATTAATTACATATATTAGTATTATTACATGTATATATAATAATAATAATATTAATATTATTAGGTTGAATTATTTAAATTCAATTATTATTGTCACAATTTTTTATTTATTTATTTATTTTTGAATTCTAATTCCAGTTTGAATTTAGTTTTCTCTCTCAGTATAAATTCAGGAACTGAACTGTGGAATATAAAAGGCTCTCTCTCGGTTCAGCTCTGAACGGCACACGATCCTGCTGCCAGGTTTGATCTTCCTTCCATTTTAATTATCCGTGACATTCTCGTCTCTCATCTAACGTCACTCCCAGTTAGCGAGTCAAGGGTAGACGGAGTAATTTCCTCACAAGTTCTGACACATGGCCAAAAGAGCGACTCGGAGACTGTAAGGCTGTGGTGCATGGGCCGGTCATCTATGGGCCGCATTGTCTGGGAGTCAAAGGAAACACTTCATTAATCCAGAGACAAAGCCACGCACCGGTGCATTAACCCCAGACCGCTGCGGTGAGAAAGAGGCCGGCTGGACAGTCATCGGGAGGCTTTGGGAGGGGGACGTGACTCTGACCTCCTCCTTAAGTCAAAATGCAAATGTAAAGGCTGTTGGCGAGCAGGAGAGGTCAAGAGTTCACGACTGTGCAGCGCGGGCAACAGAAACATCCTGCTTCATTAACAAACATATTTCATCCAACCTGAAACTGTGGTAAGGCTTCAGATGGAGAAAATCTCACAGGCTACGCAGATGACATGGATTAGCATCACTTGTTTGAGTGACCAAAGAGAACACATACAGAAATTAATTCAAATCATTTGCCAAATGACGTCAAATCACACAGAAAAAAATAACAGATTAACTCTTTTCAACAAATAAAATAAAATACATATATATTTTTAGTATCTTATGAATGAATTGTCAGACTTGAAATTAATAATAATAATAAAATAATTTTTGAAAACTTGTCAAATCACAAAGAAAAATATCAGAATAACTCTTCTTGACAAATAAAATGCAATTAACATATTTATTTAATGTCTTTTGAAGAATTTGTGTCAGACTCTCTAAAATAATTTGCCAAATGAGGTCAAATGGCATAGAAAAATATCAGAATAACACTCCTCAACAAATAAAATAAGATCATTTTTCTCAGAAATTCTCAATGAAATTTTCTCAAGAAATTGTGTACAACTCCAGGCTTCTATTAATAAAATAAAAAATTATAAAAAATTATGAAATAATCTGACAAATGAAGTAAAATTGCACAGAAAAATCTCCCTTTAACAAATTAAATTAAATAATTAAAATTATTATTATTATCATCATCTTCGGAAGAAATTGTGTCAGACTCCAGGCTTCTATTAAAACAAATAAAATAAAATAAACATAAATGATGAAATCATTTGACAAATGAAGTCAGATCGCATAGAAAAATAACAGAACGAGGTGTGTGATTTAAAGAGGGATTCATGAATAAATAATGAAATGAAATGTTAAATAAAAAAAATAAGGAAAAAAACTAAAGCAACAAAAAACAAAACCACAAAAAAAATAAAATAAATAAAACAGTGAAATAAAATAACAAACTAACATAAAACAACCCGTACATGACACCTTTGGTAAGGTAAAGTTGTGAATGTATGTGGGATTTTTTCATCTGTTTTATCATCCAGCATGGCAGGTGAAAACTGTAAGTCTAATCAGTTAGTAATTTAAGAGCACACATGATTTGAGGAATCATTCATGTTTGGAGCACAAACACTAAAAAAGCAATCCAATAAAACGCCACAAAGCAGGTGTTTCTTATTTGATACGACTCCTGCAATTTCACTCAATTACTGGAAAAACACAAAAAGCAGAACGTAACACAGTTTTCCTGCAGCTAACAAGTCATAACCGCCATATTTAGGATCTCGTTTCATTAAAGCACTGAACTAAATCAAACCAGTTACAGTCAATGTTCATAATCTCAACTTTCTAAAGTACTGAGACACTCTGAGCTCTCGAGTTTTACAAACTGATTATCCAAAAACCAGTGAATAAGGACTCAAACGCACCCATCACACAAGTTTAGCACAGGTTTTAAGGCACTTTTAGAAGTAAAAGCCTCGACTGTGAGCACAAGGGAGTCTTGACAGAAACTCAAGGCCAACAGAATTCCTCCCAACGTTATAAAACGTCTAGACTGTCAAGCGAAAATGGAACATAAAAATTCCCCGTTCACGAAACGACGAGGCTCCCCTCTGCCAAGTCCCGGTTTCACATTCGCGGGTGTTTATTTGACTTGGCTGGATGAATCTCCACCATCAGTCTGTTAAAACCAAAAGCTGTTTGGCCAGTGACGGACACAGAGCGAAAACCCACAGCCAAATACGATACACTCGTTTGAAAGAATACAAATGGCATGGGATCAAAAGTCGACGGATAGAAAATAAATAATCTGAACATACAAGCATGAAAAGCTTTAAGAAGAGCCGTAGCGGATTCATGAGGTCGTATTGAGCAATGCTTCAAGCACTATAAAATCAAAAGTCAGGTTTACAAGCGTGCTGTACGAGAGCAGTCTGTGGTGATCTGGCAACATGACGGCGCACAACCTGATCCTGTTTATAGTTTTGCACATGCTCGCCACAAACGGAGACCCCCTGCCGCTGCTGACGCGGCTCACCCAGAAAACACACGGCTGTAGCATCTGTCAGGATCGCTGGGACAGCCGTCAGGATCCAGTCATCCCTCATTGACAGCTGATTGTTACCACAGAGCAAAAGGCCGAACTACGAGAGCACAGCTGCGTCTGCACAGACTGATACACATCCATCCCACCAATCAAACGCGGTCATTTTCAACTGGTTCAGGTGTGGATACACTAAGGTTTGGACATGCGAAATTATCCTGCAATGACTAAGAACAAGCATATAACAAGCACATGTAAGGCATAATGTCTCTTGGAATAGAAAAGAATAGAATAGAATACGGTTTGGACATGCGAAATTATCTTGCAATGAATAAGAACAAGCATATAACAAGCACATGTAAGGCATAATGTCTCTTGGAATAGAATAGAATAGAATAGAATACGGTTTGGACATGCAAAATTATCCTGCAATGAACAAGAACAAGCATATAACAAGCACATGTAAGGCATAATGTCTCTTGGAATAGAATAGAATAGAATAGAATACGGTTTGGACATGCACAATTATTCTGCAATGAATAAGAACGAGCATATAACAAGCACATGTAAGTCATAATGTCTCTTGGAATAGAATAGAATAGAATAAAATAGAATAGAACAGAATACGGTTTGGACATGCGAAATTATTCTGCAATGAATAAGAACAAGCATATAACAAGCACGTGTAAGGCATGATGTATCTTGGAATAGAATAGAATAGAATAGAATACGGTTTGGACATGCGAAATAATTCTGCAATGAATAAGAACAAGCATATAACAAGTACATGTAAGGCATAATGTCTCTTGGAATAGAATAGAATAGAATACGGTTTG